AATTCAGAAAACTCTTTTCAGAACATTCTGTTTGAACTCCATAGTCACAACACTCTTGAAGTATTCCGACTTTAGAGCTGTTACGCATGTCTTCGGAGCAATATATGCAATATGAAATAAACAAAAAGAATGAGGGCAGAATTTGTAATTGAATACATCCTGTAATATTTGGTATTACATACTGACATTAATCATGTCGTTAAAAGTATTTATTCAGGGTTTTTTTCTCTTTATTTATGCAGCTGAATAAAAAAAATGGTAATTGATTCATTGAAAATAATAAAATGTGCAGTCCAGCATCAAATGTTAATGCTGGTGACGACTGACCACACTCAGAGGTCCAACCCACTGACTTTGACTGACAGACCAAGTCATTGTGCCCCCTGGCCCCCAATGGGACATGGCATTATGAAGTAAAAGAACCATTGTGGAAAAGGACCTCATAAAATAAAAACTGACTTTGTAAAAAAATGTTTTTATTTGATAAAATCATGGACAACAAATAAAAATCATTTTTAAAAAGTGTGGCATTGTTGGTATAATCATGATGAAAATTTTAATTAGAATTTTTTCACAACATGAACTTATTTTATACTGTAGTGGCCAGATTAAATATTTGTCATTTTTCAAAATGTTATTTATTTCAAAATGTTCTTTTAATTTATTTAATTTTAAGATGCCCCCTACCGGTATTTACAAATGCTATTGTACCTTAATAAAAGGCAGTCCATTCATCTTCACATTATGCTTTCAGATTTCTTGTGTTGCAAATGATATATTACAGACGATTATCGTGCAACAAGTTTCCAGCGCTCATATGGCACCCAGGGCTCAGCATCCTCTAGCTCAGTGCTTGCTGCATGTTGGGATTATGCGAGTGGATGTTAAAGCACATTTGATTGAGTTGCAATCTTTTGCCCCGCTCTTCATCACCTCGCTGACCTCTCTCTTGGCTCCAAGAGCCCATTGGTGTCAGCTCAGTGGAGATCAGAGGGAGATGAAGAGAGAAGGAGGAGGAGGAGGAGGAGAAGAGGTGGGTGGGTATGGAGCTGTGACAGGTGAGCTAATGGTTTTAGGGGAGAAAGGGATGAGGGCACCGGCTGTGATCTTTACACAGATTACAGAGGGACAATTTATTAAAAGGAACGGATGCAGAGTAAATGAATTGACCTAAAACCCCTGAGTCTCTGCACCCTCGTGCGTGTATGCGTGCGTGTGTGTGCGTGTGTGTGTGTGTGTGTGTGTGTGTGTGTGTGTGTGTGTGTGTGTGTGTGTGTGTGTGTTTGAGGGTGAGATGCCATCCATTCACCCCCATGCAGTGCTGAGTGACAGCCTCAGTCATTGGAAGTGGTTGGTCAATTTTTTTCCCAAGCACTGCAAACGTGCAGGCTAGGAGGCTTCCTACTCTAAGTGCCTACTGTACATTTTGCCTGCATGTACTGAGTGAATTCACAACACATATATTTAGTATTTATTTAATGTGCCTATTAGCCAACATAGCTTGAAGATTGAGGGCTCCATTTTGGTGACCAGCTCATGTCTGGCTTGAGGCATGGGCAAAATCTGCCCAGGGGTGGCCGAGACTTTGTTTAGGTATTCTTGCAGATGACCACATCTTGGCACAGTTTAAAAAAGGCATTTTGTGCTGTTGTGGGTGTGATTCGCCGCCAACAGAAACGGCGCCTGTCATTCCCTTTAAAATCAGCGGGCGAGAGGCACAGGCCTTGACATGGCGGAAGAAGAAAATTGATTTGCAGGAGTCGAAACGTGAAAAGTATGTTTATAAGGAACTGCAATCAGACGTCCATGATAATACTACACTCCTCCTCCTCCTATGACTACTACCACTACTACTAATAATACATATTATTAATAATAACAAAAATAGATCTGGCAGGTCTGTGAAAATCATGAAACGTAAGTGTGCTCGATCCACTAACTGGTGACAGTTGTTGGAACGAAGTAAGCATGAATGAGATCCAGAGAGGACGAGGCAAGTGCGCACAGCGGAGCTCAAGTGTCCAGATAATGCTGTCAACAAAGGTCACTGTGACCTGTGACTAGTGCGCATAAAAACACAGCCAGCGCAAGTCAACGTTCACATCCAAAAAGCCACAGTTTTGGACCAGCATTTGTCAATCATTTCCAGAATGTTGGCATTCTCTGAATAAATTAGACACAAAGTTACAGCATTATAAGATCTGCAGACCTCTTGAAAAACAAGGACAAAACTTGCTGAAAAAGTTTTGAAATTTTAAACCCACAGGTTAGAGGGGTGGAAATTGCGGAATTGTCATTTGAGTCAAACTAAAGACAAAGTGACAAACAATTATTGCCATTGAGAAACAGATTAAAATCCTAATCTTTTATGAATTTAGTTGTAGAGAGCAGCCCCCCACCCCTAAAAAAGGCATGTATTTTATAGGGGGGGGGCAATAATCATAACAATCCATCCATCCATTTTCTGATCCGCTGATCCTCACAAGGGTTGCAGAGGGTGGTGGAGCCTATCCCAGCTGTCTTCAGACAGTAGGCAGGGGACCCCCTGAACTGGTTGCCAGCCAATCGCAGAGCACACATAGACGAACAACCATACATGCTCACAATCACACCTAGGGACAATTTTGAGTATTCAATGAGCCTGCCATGCATGTTTTCTTGAATGTGGCAGGAAACTGGAGTACCCGCAGAAAACCCACGCAGGCATAGGAAGAACATGCAAACTCCACACAGGAAGGCCGGAGCTGGAATGGAATCCTGCAACTCTGCACTGTGAGGCCGACGCGCAAACCAGTGATGCCACATACAGGTATGGGTATTTGGTTTTTTTTCTCACTTTAAAGTCAACCCATTTCCATTTTAGTTCTTCATCATCTACTTTCTTAGTTGTTAGTTTTTGTTCATTCATTGTTATTACAGATGAATACTAGTTGCATTTTTAGCGGTCTGAGTCAACAGGGAGCAAAGTGCAATATCAGAAGAAAAAAAATCTGACCTGTGGAAAGGTACTGCACGTTAAAAGGGCTTGTAAAAGGCCTTAGAAGGGAATGAATCGTGTGTTTTAGTACAAAGGGGTGCTGCCATGAACTTGAAAGCCCCAATGGAGAAAATATATCACCACTATACCTACTTCAACGGTGAAAATTTGAACTATTATTTTCTAGGGCTTCTGTCAGTCATCATGGACCCTTAAGAATAATCCGAACTTTTCTTCCCCTTTATGATGCCCCTGCACAATTGACAGTAACGTTAATTCTCCTCGAATAATATTATTCCTTTGCCCTTGAAAAACATGATTTTGGTCTTATCAGATCACATATTTAGACTTCACTTTATTCTCTTCAAATTCAACTTTTAATCTCACTGTTTAAAAATCATTGTTTATGCAACACTTCCTTGTAAAAACAAGAACATATAACAAAAATATCAACAGCAAATATGACGCATAGATATACATATGCTGCCGTTGTCGTTGTTTTTACATAAACCTGTCCATGAAATATATCTAAGATTTAATAATAAATGGACAGATTTTTTTTCATGATTTGGTAGATATAAAATGGCATAAAGTAAACAGTAGATATCTTTAAATAGAAAAACATCCACCTAAAAACGTCACAAAGCTAACATACAATTGACCTTAATAATCTCTTCCAAAACCAGTTAAACTGCTACGCTGAGCCTGGCCACTGCTGATTTCTCCAAAAAGTAATCCAAAAGTCAAGAGAATGAGGAAAATGTGACACCAGTGTGGATGCATTCGCCATCATGATCAAAGATCATCCACATCTTTCCACACAATGACATCGAACAACAAGAGTCAAGCAGAGTTTACGACCGTGGCGGAATATACAAAAAAACCTTTTAAGAACTCAAAAAGTTGGACATCGATCTTCAAGAAGGAGGACATGGGGGCGAATGATAATTGTTTCATCTGCTTGAATGGCAACTATTACAACAATAGCGCCAGTGACCTGGACGTATGGGGTGGGGGTGGGGGTCAAGGCCTTATTCGGCGACCTTTGCAAGAGAAACGGCAGCCCGTTCAAGAGTCAGGGCGCCAAGGCCTCGCCACCTTGTCTGCCACTGTCAAGCCTTAATTCAAGGCACAACACAACAGCCGGGCATCGCTGCGACCCTTCGCGCGTGACATCCAACCTTTGCCTTAACCTCCTGACCGTCGTCCGCAGCTGCGGCTGACCTTTGTCGGGTGGGGCGGAGCACGGGGTCGGCCGAAGGGGAGGGGTGCAAGAGGATTGAGAGATGAGGTGCGAGATTGCTTGTGGGAAGCAAGGACGGAAAGGAGCAATAATGGAGAGCACAAAGGCAAATAAAGGAAACATTAAGTGCCATTTTTGGACAATTGAAAGGTTTCGTGGTGTCTTGAGGAAAGGGCTGACATTCTTTTGTCAAGCTACACAAAAGTTATTGCTCTGGTTGGAGTTTAGAGGCAGGTTCAAATGGAGATCAGCGCATCAGGAAATGGACCAAAGGATGTTTTTTTTTTTTTTTTAATAATAATCCTTTAACTTGAGTCGAGTCAACAATAAAAATGAATACGTCAATAAATAACTGAAATGTGGTGAGCAGATACTTTGTGTGATGCGCCTCTCCCCCTTCTTAGAATTTCTTGGCTTGGCTTGACTGCAGGAAAAGTGAATTTTCCTGAGTTCTGCTCTGAAATGGACATTTATTATACCTCCACAATGGAAGAACAAGCATTGTTTTCCATGTCTTATTGTTATGCATTCCTGCACACGTCATTTCAACTGCTCTTTGTAATGATATGAACACATCGGATTTGCTTGTTCGACTCGCGATGCCTGCCCACAGCGCACAGCGATACACGGAGCATGCACAGCCGTTCGGCAATCGTACGAGAGTCCACGAGTTGTACGCATGGTGTTGTTGCGTTCCCTCTCCGACCACGACGGCAGTCCAAATCAAGAACCTCTACTCTTTCCAGAAGCTGTATTATTGAACGAGCCCGCACACTCTTGTACATGCCGGTTGTTTGAAATATTTTTAATAAGACACAAACTTTACAAGCATGACTTGAAGGAAACGACATTAAATGTTCCTTTCGTTTGGCTCTGCGGCGCGTAATCGGATCACAGAACAGTCTCTTCTCTCCTCCATTCTGAATCTTCCCCCGCCGTTTTCGACGTTTCGTTCTGGACGCGTTGGTTTTCCGTCATGGCGGCTAGTTTCTGCTCCAGCTTCCACACCTGCTCCCTGTACTTTCGGCGAATGTGTCTGTACGAGCTCAAGGCCTTACTGGAATGGTGACATTGCAAGAAGATTCGCTTTCACGTATCATAACTGAAAGGTTTCTGCAATTTTTATTTTTATTTTTTGCTACTTTGGTTCGGAATTCAAACCGCCATGCTGTACCTGTGAGCTTGCGCAATCCGTGCCACGTGCTCATCACTCTCCCTACTGGTAGAGGTGCTGTCTGGGAGTGCTGCATTCAGCGAGTCATAAACAAGCGCCAGTCTCCTCTTGAGGGCTTGTTCCCTACAAGCCGATGAGGTGAAGAAGATGAACTGCAGCATTTACATCTCTGAAGTCTAACTAATATAAGAATCAGATATGTCCTTGAGCTAAGACCAAACCCAGTGGAAACTAGTACAAGGGCATCATGCCCTTGTAACACCCACAGTTTTCCCGTTGCATTATATCAACACCCATTTCGGACACACCTTACTTCACAGGTGTCAAACTCAAGGCCCGGGGGCCAGATCTGGCCCGCCACATCATTTTATGTGGCCCGCAAAGGCAAATCAAACATGTCAACTTCCATGATGTTTGCTAAAATCCCTACCAAAATTTTTAATTCTCATATGTAATAAATAAGAGACATATTGTAAGCATTTTTTAACCAAGCCCCTCAGTACAGTAACTTGCTCAAAAACAATAGTTTTATAAACAATAGTTGAATAAACCGTTAGTGACTTTTTAAATTTGGTTTTGGTCATAACGGCGCTCCAAGGGAAACGGGAGCTAAAATGTGGCCCATGACAAAAATGAGTTTGACACCCCTGACCTTTCTTGATAATATTCCGAAAAAAAATTCTTCGTCGAGAGAGTTGACCGCTCTAAACATAAGATACTCTTTAACAATTATTGCGTCGTTGTTATCTACTATGTGACACTGTCTTTCAAAAAGATGCTTTCCTCTGCACCTGCTACAAAGAGCCACTTGGTCTTGTTCAAAAGCAATGAACAGAAGCTGGAACACATTCGCCAGCATTGGCAGCTATCAGGTAAGGTGACCTGATGTTAAATCAAAACTGACGAACCAACACCTCACCTCTGAAGTAGTGCCTGCAGTTCTTTCAAGATGGGCCTCGTCCTGAGCCCAGACACGTCACCATCACTGCACACTTTATCGGCATTCTTGCAGAGCCTCTAAGAAGGAAACAACCCCCACCCCCAAGAAAAAAAAAACATTAACACATATCCAATGCATGAAATTACATGCTGTGACTGAATAGCCTTTGGCAAGGATCCCAAATGTAATTTTGGTTATTGTGTATTCAAATAAGTTGAACTTGCAATGACCGAATCACACACCATTTCAAACTGTGTCCTAATACTTTTGTCTGTACTGTGTATGACAATGTGTTCTGGCGTGTCCTTGTCCTTTGACAGTGGCAGAGGTGTGAAGAGTAGCTCGAATCTAAAGACCTTGTTTGACCAAAATATCCTTCTCGGTCTGGAGGGATTCTCTGCTTTGGTAGCGAGATGTATGATTTCCCAGGTGGGACGCCCAGATTTGAATCGGGTCTGTCACAAAAGACCAACGCCCTGCTCCCTCTTGTACACTTCACCTTGACTTCGTGTCACTTAAAAAAGTAACAGAGAAGTGTGCTGCTGTTCGTACAATCTACCTGTTGTTCAGTCTTACAGTCCTGCGGCTCCTCTCGGAGGCTTTCTGGAGCACGTGCTCCAGATGCTTCCTGGGCTTTTTGGGCCACCGCACTCCACTCCAGACACCTCAGCTGTTTCTCCTTCAGACGAATCTGAGCACGGAGATCCGACATCTCCTCCTGAACAAGTAGACCATTAAGCTAATATGATTCATTGTTATACTCGTTGAGTGAGTTCAGTAAGAAAGCTGGTAACACGGGCAAGACCAGCACAAAAACACAAGAAAACCATACTGGTCTATGCATGGTTTCTTTTTTTTTTTCCCTCTAAGGAGCTTGACCCATGTTCACTTTTCTTTGTTTTCATTTTTTGTGCCTGTGCAGTGGTGTCTTTTCTGTATCACAGCTAGATGGTTTGTCAACAAATTACAGCGCGTACAGTAAAAGTGAGATGTGACTCTTACCCAGTCTCTTGCAATCAAAAAGTGTCACTTTCAATTTAGAATAATTGTCATGAAAACCTAAGTGGCAGTTGACCCCAGAACATGCCTCGATACTACACAGTTGTATTGACAACATGCCTAAGCAATTTGACTGCGTTGTCTGTACACAATGACACAAAGACTTGACATTTTGATGGCACTGACATGTTCAATGATACAGATATTTACTTTTGAGACATCTACTAAGCATTGTGAAAAACAACATGGCTTTTGCAAGGGAACTATGATGTTTTGCTAATTGCATGAATTATTTTGAGCATGCCAATAATGTTTTGCACGTTGCAATTCTGAAATAAGAAATGTACCAAAGCGTCTGAGAAAACTAAGAAATCAGACACTAATGGCACAGCAGGCTGATTTAATTAAATTTTTTTCCATCCAAAAATGATTTGTGCTAGTTAGGGGGAATCTGGCTGAAAAAAAATATGTCTCAGCAAGAACATCAATTAAAAAAAGGTTGAGGACCACTGATCTAGACTCTTACCCTGGTAGTGATCAGCTCATGGAACAGAGACGTCTTATCTCTCTTGCCCTCAGCAGGCTCTTTGGATAAGTGTCCCACTCTCAGTCCAGCAGGGTAACAAGCATCTGGGCTCATTTTGACTACTGCTTGATGTGGACGTGGCTTCGGGAGGCAAATGGCCGCCCGGTCTTCTTTCAGACGCTCAATTAGCTGACGAAGCGCAACCTCTCGATCACTCAGTTCAGGAGTTCTGGAGTTACAGATTCTGAATTACTTTGCCATTTCAAATGTTAGCTTAGTGTACGAGGGAGTCCTTCAAAACATCACCTCCACACTGTGTGTGTTTCCATCTCCTCGGTGAAGGAGGTTGACATCTCCTCACTTGCAATTTTCCTGGTCTGAGCTGGACTGCCTGGCTGCTGCTTGTTATCGCCTCCTGTTGGCGACAAGAAAAAACAACAGTTGGTGTTGGTGAATGATAAGCACACGCACACAATGCGAGGACGAGTGTGCACTGAGTAGCGAACATAAAAAAAGTGTTATTCAAACACCTGCTCTGTCGGTCTGGAGGGGAATGCTTTGTTGCCTTTGAGCATCGTAAAGTGAGAAGAGTTCACTGTAAGCCTCTTCACACTCCTCACTGGTGAACCAACAAACCACAGCACCATTCTGATATAATTCTATGTTGCTAACAAGTGATAAGCACGTTATATGACAGGTGTTGTTGTGTTTGTGTACCAATATCGGAGAGCCAGATGCATGGCAGAGCAGTCGGCCGCAAGTCTCTCGACTGTTACACTGATCTGCTCGTAATCTGCTCTCCTTCGCTCCAAAGCAACAGTCAGACGCTCATTCCTGGCCTTCAGCTTCTCAATGTACCTGTAAAACACCAGAGATGATTGAAGTAGGCGGAGCTATGTGGCAGCCACCACTGGCCACTCCCCAGCCACCAAACAGACCACCCCCGCCCCAGGCTCCACTTTCTCTTAGAATTCGGCCTTTGCGTGTGTGTGGTCCGTCACCGTGATTTCGAAAACGAGCCATTCTGTACAATAACGCAATTAAAGATCCATTTTATTATGGATGACAGTCCATGAATATTCCATGACCTTTGCACGTCCGCCTCACAGTGCAGAAGTGCAGGGTTCAATTCTGGCTCCGGCCTTCCTGAATGGAGTTCGAATGTTCTTCCATTGTCTGCGTGGGTTTTGTCCAGGTACTCTGGTTTCCTCCCACATTCCAAAAACATGCACCGTAGGTTAGTGCAACATTCTAAATTGTCCTTAGGTGTGATTGTGAGCATGAATGGCTGTTCGTCTATGTATGCCCTGCGATTGGCTGGCAAACAATTCAGGATGTACCCCATCTACTGCCCAAAGACAGCTGGGATAGACCCCAGCACACCCGTGACCCTTGTGAGGATAAAGCAGATCAGAAAATGGATGGATGGATACTTCTGCGTCTGTGAGTGTGTGCCGGTCGATCACTTTTCCTCTTTGTTTAAACACAAAACGCTGTGAAGGCAACTAAAGTGGTGTGAATGTCTTTCTTTGTGTGACGGACGGACCAGTTTTTATCTTGTTGTGGAGAGCTTATTTTAAACATTTTTAAGGCCTTTGGAAAGATGTCAGACAAAAGTTTAGAAATGCCTTTCATAAAATAAATGTCATTGAGCCATTGATCAGTTTGCAAAATGGCATCGGGTAACTGTGACAATTGATCACGCTGATTAGCTTTTAGCTAGCGAACCAGTGCATGAAACCCTGACTGTGGATTGCATGATAAAGAATGACGGACGCACTGATATGTGACGCCCTGCCCACGCCACTGGATCAAGACATACACATACTCTATGAATAGGTGCTCTGAAGTTCATTTTTATCTTTGTGTTCTCAAAAAAGGATAGATAGAGCAGTGTTTTTCAAACTTTTTTGAGCCAAGGCTTATTTTAACAATTAACGTGTTATATTGTTACTATAACCGTTTTTAACATTGAAGAATGACGTTATAACAGCTTGAATTGGAATCAAATGAACACAAAGAAAACAGTATTTTATCATCTTTCATATTTATTGTTTCACCGTCGTCCTGCATTCATGCGTCACAAATTCGCTTGTCTCTCGTTGAAACACAAGGCAATTGGCTAGCTGTTGCTTCTCCCTAGTGGTGTGGGAGGGCACTACATGATTACTTTCTGGGCGAAAGACTGCACAGGCATACAAATTGGATATTTTCCCGCGGCACACCTGAAAATGTCTCGCGGCACACTGTTGTGCCACGGCACACGGGTTGAAAAACACAGACATAGATAATCGCTCTTTTTTTTCACGAGATAAGCAGTAAAAATGCAGTTGTTTATGATCGTGTGCACTTTGACTTCGGAACAGTCTGAGCCCTACCTTGCATCGCCACTAAACTACTGCCCTACTTTAAAACAGAGTCACGCCGTCTTATCATGGTTCCCAATATTGTTTGATTTGCGTTGGTAGATTCTGCTGAAGAATATAATAGTAGTCATAGTAGTAGCAGTTAGTAATTGGAGGAAGTCTAAATTGATATGGTGTAGTTACCTGTTCAGTCGTTCTATCTCAGTCTCCAGGCCACTGGGGCTTGAACAAGGACTTCCCGAGGTAACAAAGCTCAGAGGGGAGCCATCACCTCCTGAAGATAACGAGCCTCCGGCAGCTCTTCTCATAAGCAAAGGAGAACACGGAAAGGACGAGGAGGCCCGGTCTGCAGTGGTGCCTGAAGGAGTGCAAATGGCTGACCTCCAGGTCCTCTGCTGATCAACCTGCTGGACAACAGAAGAATTTAGACTTAGCACATAGACTAACTCTGATTTGAATCCTTTACACCACATATGTCAAAGTGCCGGCCCGCGGGCCAAATCCGGCCCGCGAGAATGTTTTCAGTGGCCCCTGGGATGATATTGATTTATTATTAGATCCGGCCCGCGGACCGCAGCAAGCCGAGAGCCCGCAGATCTTTTACACGCACCAAAACTACATTTCCCACAATGCAACGGTGACGCGCCAAGCAGTCGGCCGCTTTATTTAAATATTTATTCGTCTAGCAGTCGTTCCCATAACAGTGACATTAGCTTTCAGATACCCATCAAAAATGGCAAAACGGAAGGTGGACACTGAGAACCGGGGGTTTCAAACAAGGTGAGAGTCGAAGAACATGTTCATGGACGTAGCTGGAAAACCTGTGTGTCTTCTGTGTGGAGAAGGTGTGGCGCGATTGAAATAGTGTAATCTGAGACGACATCATGAAACGAAACACGCAAACAAGAACATGGACATGGAGGGGGAAGGGGGATTTCATTAAAAACGGTATACTTAAAGTTTGTGTTTGTGACGAAGTTTACCCCGAAAAAAAGCAACTCTTTTTAAACGTGAGCATTAGCAGAAACACAATGGCAGTGTTTCTGCAAAGATACGGCAGTGCGTGCTGCGCAGTTTGACGGTTTCCTCCCCGACACAGTGGTCCCGCTGCGCATCCAGGCTGCTCAAACGTTGTCGAAAGTTTGGCAGCACATACGTGTGTGAACAACTATTTTCTTTGATGAAGCTGAACAAAACATCACACAGAAGTCGATTTACTGCTGAACACCCTCACTCAATGTTGAGGATTTGCTCAGCTCAGAGCCTGACCCCAAATATTGATGAACTTGTAGAAAAGTTAAGACACCACCGAGTATCAGCCTCAGCCTCAAAGAAGTGAATATTACTTATAATATACTGTGCAATCACATACTAAGAGTTTTTACTCAGTTCAAGTTTTTTTCTTGAAGAAAGTGTTGTTTTTGGTTTATACATTTTTGCACTTCATTTTATTGTATTTCAATCCAATTATGTTTTAAAAATATTTTATTCGAGTAAATGATCGAAAATTACTGCACTATTATTTGTTTTTCTTTTAAGTAAATTTAGCCTACTTTTGCTAAAAGAGAAAATATGGACTAGTGATAGTGCCTTGAATAATATCGGCTTCTTTCATTCATGTTATGGGTATTTTTATACAAAGGAAATTTTTTTGTGCCTGTTGAAAATTAAAGTTTACTGACATAGCCATAAAAAAATGTTGCTTTATTTATCTGACCGTATTGGAATGTATTTGTTAGGTTTTCGGTCAATTAAATTTGGTTCAATAAACAATATGTGGTTATTTTTAAAATTTTCAATGAACATTCGATCAGTCCGGCCCTTGGCTTGCAGCAAAAATTTTTATCTGGCCCTCCGTCCATTTGACTTTGACACCCCTGCTTTACACTGTCGAAACATACATTGTTTATCATAATGAGTCACCAAAGTCGATGCTACAGATCAATAATTTCATCACAGGAATAAAAATGTATTACAAAATAGAAAAAGATCTTGTGCCCCCCCCCACCCCATTAATTATTAAATTCTTACAGTATGCTAAGTATAACTTTTGTATACGCACACATCCATCCATCCATTTTCTACCACTTATCCCGGGTCGGGTCGCAGGGGCAACAGCTTTAGCAGGGAAGCCCAGACTTCCCTCTTCCCAGCTACTTCTTCCAGCTCTTCCCAGGGGATCCCGAGGTGGTCCCAGGCCAGCTAGGAGACATAGTCTCTCCAGCGTGTCCTGGGTCGTCCCCAAGGCCTCCTGCCGGTGGGACATGCCTGGAACACCTCACCAGGGAGGCGTCCAGGAGGCATCCTAATCAGATGCCCGAGCCAGCTCATCTGGCTTCTCTCAACGTGGAGGAGAAGCGGCTCGAATCTGAGCCCCTCCCGGATGGCCAAGCTTCTCACCTTATCTCTGAAGGAGAGCCTGAACTCCCTGTGGGGAAAACGCATTTCGTCCGCTTGTATCCGGGCTCTCGTTGTTTCGGTCATGACCCATAGCTCGTGACCAGACGTCAGGGTAGGAATGTAGATCGTCCGATAAATTGAGAGCTTCGCCTTTTGGCTCAACTCCTTTTTCACCCCGACAGACCGATACGAAGTCCGCATCACGGCAGACGCTGCACCGATCCGCCTGTCGCTCTCCCGATCACTCCTTCCCTCACTCATGAGCAAGACTCCAAGATACTTAAACTTCTCCACTTGGGGCAAGATCTCATCCCCGCCCGGAGAGGGAACTCCACCCTTTTCCGACTGAGGACCATTGTTTCAGATTTGGAGGTGCTGATTTTCATCCCAACCGCTTCACACTCTGCTGCGAATTGCTCCAGTGAGATTTGGAAATCCCCCGGCTTGAAGAAGCCAACAGCACCATATAATCTGCAAAAAGCAGAGATGCAATACTGAGGCCACCAAACTGGACCCCCTCAATGACTTGACTGCGCCTAAAAATTCTGTCCATAAATGTTATGACCAGAATGGGTGACAAAGGTCAGCCTTGACGGAGTCCAACCCTCACAGGAAACGATTCCGACTTACTGCCGGCAATGTGAAACAAACTCTCACATCGGTGGTATAGGGACCGAACAGCCCGTATCAGGGAGTTTGGTACCCCGTACTCCCGACGCACCCTCCACAGAACTCCCTGAGGAACACAAAGCGCATGTAGACTGGTTGGGCGAGCTCCCATGTACCCTCGAGGACCCTCCTAAGGGGGGAGAGCTGCTCCGCTGTTCTACGGCCGGGACGAAAACCACACTGCTCCTCCTGAATTTGAGACTCGACTTCCTCGGATATGCACACATATATAACAAATTCTGAATACAACAACCTTGCTCTTCGCTTCCTCCTCCACCTGGCGGATGCTGTGCGCTCTCTGCAGTTCTCCCAGTTGAGCCTGCACTGGAGGAGAGTCGACACGCTTTTCCATGACTACCTCCTGGAATGTTTCCCTTGCCACATCTGTTGGACAAGAAATCCCAAATTCCCTTTCCATTTCCTCCAAAATCTGCAGGAACCAGAAGACGCAAATCGATGATAAAGACATGCTGACAAGGACACATGTTCATTTGGAAGCATCAATTGTTGCTGTGGCGTTACCTTAGTAGCCTTGGCCCAGCTGTCCTGAGCTGCTCTTAGGTGTTCTTTGGGTTTGTCTCGGTCAGAGGATGTGATGGGGGTTGCCCAGGAACGTCTGCAGTTGAGTGAGTCCTCCACAGCAGTCAGGGCTCCCTTGAGTTGTGCCCACATCACATTACTGCCCCCTACAGGAAAATATGTGAAGATGTGATTACAAATCATTTAAAAAAAGATTAAGGAAGGCTCTTTTGTTGATTTTATGGAGTGGAGCGCAGTCAGGGCCAACAAGGTCTATTCTGCAGGCCTAAACACCAGAAGCACTGACCTATATTTATAATTCCAAAAGCAGCATATTTTTCATGAAATTGTGTTCATTTATTCCCACAACTGGCATTTCTCTTGGCTGCTTCCACTCTTCCTTTAAATGTATATGAATGTTGATTTCAGCCTCTGTGTGTTGCCACCTCAATGACATCTTACTGGAGCTGTCAGAAACGATAGTGCTTGCAATGTATTTTGAACTATATTAGCAAATGTTTCTTTAACTAAAAAGATTAAAAATGTGTCCCTACAGGTGGGGCCCCATGTCGATGGGGCCAGCGAACTAGCCCGCAATGACGTTAGCATTTCCACCCTCTGATTCTGATTCTTTTATTTTATCATGTTATTAGATAAATATTGATTTTGAACTGCTACAAATGATGTACATGGCACATTATGTTGTGTTTTTGTCCACTGACAGTATCTTTAATTGCAACGTGATAGAGAAAGTGGATTAAGTCGCGTAGAGACTGACAGACGGCCTTTGATTTTATGTGTCTGTTTTCATACTGTGTTTGTTCATCACCTCATCATATTTTTACAGGCAATGTTTTTCCACCTATTTTTTTTTTGTAACGGGCAGGGGTCACCTTTTGCACATTTGATTAAGAGTCCCCCTGAAAAACTTCATGGATTCCACACTAGCAATGCCACAAATTAAAAATCAGTCATGGGCCTTTAGGAACGTTAGTACTCTCATGGCCTAATGGCAACTCTGCGTTAAATCTTCAACTGCCATAGGCAGCAACTGTCCATCCCTTTTCTACTGCTAATCCTGACCAGGATATTTGTGAGCTGAATGTTGAGAGGCACGTTACACTGACACTCCTATTCAGTCATTGAGCGGCAATTGATCCCACCACAACACTATCTCTGCCACTATATAAGAAACATTCGGGAAAAAAAGAGAGAAAGAGCGAGAGAAACCTTGGTAAGGCAGTGAAGGTCGACATTTGACATCAGAGGCAGTCTTCTTCTCTGGGATGCTTCTGACTAGCCTGTGTGAAAGCAGGTCAGGAAATAGAGGACTGGCCGGTCTTGCTGGTCTCAAATCACCTGGTTCACTGCAGAGGGGCGGTAGGATGCTGCTTAAGTTAAGGCAACTGTGATTATTGTGAGGCCAACAACTATATGCACCGATTAACTTTTTTCGTTACACCTGTGTAATTTAATATCAAATACAAGGAAATTATTACGAATGTCAGAGGTGCTACTTTATTTTATGTTTGTTGTTACTGTGGTTGCAGGTTCAGTGGTGTAGAATAATGAAAGTTTTCCCCAATATTTTGCTTTTTTTTTTTCCAAACTTCTTTGTAAAAGTTGAATTTCGAACCCAACAATGGTGGATCTCATATGGTGCAGGTGTTCCTAATGTAATGTGCAGAGTATATACTGTACTCGTTGGACAATTGCAGAGCACAGTAAATTTGGTATAGATTAAAAATCCTGTCAAATGTGAATACAATTGAAGGGAATCCTTTTGATTCCCTTATGTATTTATTTGTTTGTTTAACATGTATTTAACCAGGTTGGTCCCATTGAGATTGAGAACCGCCTTTTTCAAGAAAATGACATCACCTCACTTACATTACCTTGGTGCCTTCAGTGAGCCCATCTTTTTGTTCACTTCAGCAATGATGTTGAGCAGCATGCCCACTTCAGTTTCACACTGAGCCAATTCGGCTGGAGAAGGCTCCACCTCAGGATAAAGACTCTTGTGGTCAAGGCGCGTTGTCAGTTCCTTGTCACTGCCGCCGGACGAGGTATCCAGGCTGTCACATCGGACCAAGCTGAACTGCTACAAAACCATGTGGTGTGGTTTTTAGTCTCTCAGGACTCTTATTCTAATTCTCAAAATGTAAAGTTACAGGGTACAGACAACTGTGCAATAATGATGCTATACAGGGCAGAGGAATCACAGTGCCAACTGTTTGAAAGTGCCCTTCTTGTTCATGAGGGGCGCTCTGCTTTGTCCACCACATTTATTGTATATTAACTAGGAATTGGGAAGGTTTTTAATTACTTTCAAGGATTAAATCTGCCGTGCTCTCAAAGCAGATAGATGTGTTATTGGCACCTATTGTTTTGAGCTACGGAAAGGGGGGAAACTAAAACATCCTGTATGTAACTTCCTGCCTGTACAAATATTCGTGCATCAAACAATATTGTGCAGTGCACCAAAAAAAAAATCGACTTTGTTTTTTTAACCACCTATCTACAAGTTCAGCATTACAGCAACATCTCAGCTAAAATGTGCATTTTCTTACTCATTTAATAAATCACTTGGGCCAAGCGAATTTATCATTTATTTTGTAGATCCTTTTGGTGACATATTTGAATTCCTCATTCCAAAGGCATCCAGTCAGAGAACAATAGGGATACATTCCTGTTCTGCAAGGCAATCCCAAACATCCAGTGGACGACATTCCAAGACCTAACATGTTCTCATGCAAACACACACACAAAATATGTAATAAATATATCCAACTGTATGAATATTGATAGAAGAATGTGAAAATGAAATGTCAAGAAAAAAATTCTGTTGACGCAATAATCACACTGTAACAGTGTATCATGATTAGAAGAGGATTCATTCAGTTTATTCCTGCAGTCGTTCGCACGTTCGTCATTTTTCTACTGTACATCTTGTTTTCTTAGTGGTTGATTGAACAAAATCGCAACGTTACTGTCATTTCCAAAGTTATTTAAAAGCTTTACATCATGCAACATAAGAACATCATGTCAAATTTCAATAACAAAGAGTGAATCACGTATCCTTGACCTACCTCCATACTTGACAGTTGAATTTTCTGCCGGAGATGCTCCCCTCCCACCGCAAAACACACAGAATATAGAGAATTATACTGTCGCTGCAGTTATTTTAATGTTAAACGTTCATTACTCCGCACATCTGCCAACCAGTGTTTAGTGTGATGAATGAAGTCAGTGGAAAGTCCCCTCCCATTCTCGTCACTTGGTGCCCTTTCCTGTTTTGACCAGCTTGAAAATTCATGCTTTTAAAATAGCAGGCTATGAAATTTTGTGTTAACACAGGATGTGTGCATATTAAGTAAGGGCTGATTGTAGTTCTGAATTATGAGGGTGTTTTAAAAAGAATTCCCAGCCTTACAATACACAATATTTTAATAGTATTTGTACGCTTGTGTGCACGTGCCTGTCATCTATCAATATTATTTTACTTGTGTCACTTTAGCTGACTATGTGTATTTATGTTGATGACTCTTGTCATCTTCTCTATCCATATCCACGATGGTTTGAAAAAAAAAGTTTCAAAATCTCCCTCTAGTCCATAGAACACACAACATATATGTATTTGTAAATTGTCCTTTTATATGTATATGTTTTTTTGTTTGTTTTAAAGAGAAGGCAAGATACTTTCGATACTAAACTACACTACCCATAATGCTACGCGGCCTAAGTTGTCATTTCCTTGACGGAAGTTCAAAACAAATGCTAGCTGTTCGGGGATACATCTGTCTACTTTCAATGAGTTTGACGGTGTTTGCATCCTTGTACTCTCAAAGCTATTAATTTGGTAGGTCTACTCCTTACATGAGTTGTACGTCTTTTCGCACGGAGCAAATTGGTCTTTAAAATTCTAATTAAAGCTAGCTAATGGTAACTGCTCATTTTTGCTACCGCGCTGTCATCAAACAATAGCATCCATATTGGTTTGTCCATCCATAATGGTTTCTTCTTTTCTTGTATGAATGTTTTTTTCCCCCCTAATTGCTCTTTAGGATGCCGCGTATCCACTGCATGCAGCTCACTACATACAGTACATTTCAGTGATACTATTCAACAACATGCCGCTTGTTGTGACTCTTACACTATCATTAGTTTGAGCAGGGAACCTAATTTCACTCTACTGTATTATATAATTGCTAAATCTTGTTTATTGAAATGCATGTTCTCCTTGTGCCTGTGTGGGTTCGGCCAATATTCCAAAACATTCACGTGACTTAAAGCCATCCATATAGGTGTGATTCGTGCGAGTGTGAATGGTCGTTTGTCTCTGTGTGCCCTACGATTGGCTGGCGACCAGTCCTGAGTTGGATAGGTCATCTGGAATAGGTTCCAGCTCATCAAAAATTGAAATGAGGCCAAGCGCTATCAAAAATGTACGGATGAATCAAATATCTGTGCATTCACCCACTAATGTCTTGTTCTGAACTAAGCAGCTTGCGTATCCATGGAAACGTCCGAGCCTGGCCCTGCAGATGGCGAGGAGCACCAGGTGGAATTGCGACCCCGAACCCGCTCCAACCCTGAAGGTGCGGAGGACCGTCGAAGCAGCACAGGTAGCCTCGGAGGCGGAGGTAATCCCAGTTTATCGCAGCCGGCCGTGGGCAGTCGTGTCGAGGGCGAGGGCGAGGCCTCGACCAGCGACAGTCCTCCGTCTTCCACCACCACGACCATCTCCGCGGTTGGAGCTCAGACTTCTGCCCCTGTTGCTGCCGCTTCTGCCGCCACAGTCGTACAACATGCTTTGGCCGCTGCTTGCAAGGAGAGGCTCAAGCCCACGCCACAGCAGCCTGCACTGGCAGCCTCTGTTTCCCCAGCAGCTGAGTACCAAATCCGAATTCCTCGGGTCAACTGTCCAGAAAAAGTGGTAAGCTCACGCAAGGGTTCACCAAATTCTGGGTATTGTTAAAATTGGGAACTTCCATTGGATTGAAGGAAAACCAGGATTTTCCAAAAGTGATTGTTCGCGCTTAGCAGGGATCTTTAATATAAATGAGGAAAGTATATCATAGCATAATTCTGAATAAAACAATCAGATTTCATGTAAGAAAAGTTGAGTTTTGAGAGGCCGCTTTAACAAACATGCAGAACCACAGCTTGACAAATTTGAAGGACAATGTTTTTTTTTTTTTTTTTTTTTTGGGGGGGGGGGCTCTTTTTGATTAATATTTCGAATGGAAGTGTGCATTTTTATTAATTTTTCACTGGGTTGGGTCACTTGTGTTGGGGGCATATGTAATATTTAGTTATTCAATGAAAGTATTAATTGTACAAAAAATATTTTAAGTGATAATGTAAAGTTATAATTAGTAATAAATTTGACGTCATGCTTTTTATAATTGTTTTATTTTGCAAAGATGTCTTCAGAAGAAAACTTAATGTTGTCACTTATGCTCATTATTTCTAAAACTCCAAAGATTGACTGCAAATTTTCACCACTTAATAACCCAACTTGCATTTTTTTCTTACAGATTCAAATAATTACAGTCAACAAATTTTTACTCATTATTTTTCTCAATGACTGATGCAAATAAACTTTTCTAGATTCATTTTTGCGCAGTCATTTTTTTCCTCCAGCACATTCGGTTTTCATAATAATAGCAGGATTTCATAATGCATAATGCAAATTTCCCCAGTGTGGGACAAATAAAGGTTATCCTATCTTATCTTAATAATCGTACTATTATTATGACAATAAAATAAAATGCAATATAGGAATATATTCAGTAATATTTATGAATTAAGGGTTAGGTTGAGCAGCAGGTGGAATTTTGTACAAGCGGGGAAAAAAACTAAAGGCATTTTTTAAATCAGCGTTTTTTTTTTTGTTTTGTTTTTATATATTTCGCGATACACTTGGGGGGAGGCTCCTGCAAAAATCTCATTGTAACAAGTGTGCAATGACAATAAAGTATTCATTCATTCATTCAATACGTTTAGGGACACATAAAGCCATCTGATTAAATTAATTGCTGTTGACCAGTGTAAAGTCCACATCATGCTTATGTGTGTGTGTGTGTGTGTGTGTATATATATATATATATATTTTGCACTTATATTGAACTGTGTACAGCTCTCTTTATCTACATTTATTTTTGTGCTTGTAAACACTTTGTTTTCCTTCTTTCTACCCCCCAAATTTGCTGCTGTAGACTGTAAATTTCCCCAGTGTGGGACAAATAAAGGATATCTTAATGATCTTAATATCTTAATGTGTTATTGTTTTCCTCTCAATAGATCATCTGCCTGGACCTTTCTGAAGAGATGTGTTTACCAAAGCTGGAATCTTTTAACGGGTAGGCTCCTGTTGTTCTAAACTTTCCTCACCCTAGTGAAAGTGGTAGTGTTATTTTTTTTTTCATTATGTGTCTTTCTCTCCAGCTCTAAAACAAACGCCTTGAACATTTCCCAGAAGATGATTGAGATGTTTGTCAGAACGAAGCACAAGATTGACAAACGGCACGAGTTTGCTCTGGTGGTGGTGAATGATGACGCTCTGTGGGTGAGTCAGGGACTTTTGGGGAAGATAGTATCTATGTAGCCTAGGGCTGGGCGATTCATCTACATGCAGTCGGGATTTTGACTTCTTGAAGCTCTCCAGTCATATCTGTTTTTGGGGTCAACGTTTGAAGGGGGAGATTATGTCACTGACATGTAAGCAGGTCAAAGTAGTTGATTTTCAAAATGAACCTGTGCCGAATACCCGGAAGACTAATTAAAATACAATTATGTGATTTTAATGAAGGTTATTATTTCTTTGCGGCCCGGTAGCAAATGCACCCCGTTTTACAAAATGTTCCACTTTGTCTCAGCTCTCAGGCTTCACTTCAGACCCTCGGGAGCTGTGCAGCTGTCTCTATGATCTGGACACCAACATGTGTGAGACTTTCAGTATCCTTCCATTTTCCTGTCCATTCAGGTACCATTGGAAGAAGTCATTTTTTTAGTCCAAGCCTTAACTGTCCTCTGCAGACCTGGAAGATCTTCTCAGTGTCATGTGAGCACTCTCAGAACACATCTTCTTCATTTCCCAAAAGATTCGGTATGAAGACGATTTTACTAAGATAGGCGTGTCCGTTTAACAGTCGTCAGAAGATTGAGCTGCCATCGATGGAGAATGTTCAGACTGTGCCACCTCCTTACGTGGTGAGGACCGTACTTATTTACAGCCGTCATGCTGGGCAGCTCCAGCTCAACCCCTCCGAGGCTGTCAGTGTAAGTTGGACCAAAGATGCTCGCCATCTCCGCCTGTACACCAAATTTCATTTACTTTGAACATCCTTGGGGTGGCATTAGCTCATTTGTAATGACTTGGGCTTTTGGTTTGAGTCCCGCTGCATGACCCCACCCCCAACCCAAAAAAAAAAAAAAAGGCAATTTTACTTTGACTAGATGGTTGTCTGCTTCCCAACTACTGTCCAGGTGCATTTGAGCAAGGTCACAGTATGTTCATTTCTTGTTTGTGTCCTTCAGAAAATGCTACAGTCTCCCTATTTTTTCTTTGATGTGGTCTACCTCCATAACGGCGCCGAAGATCACGGCGAGGATACAAGCTGGCGGGTGAGTGGGAACTCTCACCGAGCTGACAGTTGATTTTGACGAAGCAAGAAGCTCACTGATGGTCACTCGCCTGACTCACATGTTTTCAGTTCCCACTCAATAACTGACAACATAAATAGTTGTCTCTCTCTTTATGTGCCCTGTGCCAGTCTAAGGTGTGGTCTCGCCCAGAAGCTCTGCGAATCTAAAGACGATAAGCGTTCTAAAATATAAAATACCGGTAGTGGAAGTCCAGGTGAAATTCATTCGCGTGTTTGATCGATTTGATCAGGCGTTTCAGTGATTATTGTATGCTATCTATCATTGTGGTTGTCTATCAGCATGCAAGTGTAGGGCCTACACATGTTATTTTCTCATTTCCCAACTCTGTGGTCCTTAAAGTGTTGTTTTCTGTCTCCAGGACAACTACACGTCTTTCTGCAACCTTGACTCCAAGGGCATGTGCTATCGCTTTGAGGTTTCTTTAAGTGGCCCTGCCATCGAGCTGCACAATTGCATGGCCAAACTTCTCGCTCACCCTCTGCAGAGGCCTTTCCAGAGTCACGCGTCATACAGCCTCCTGGAGGGAGAAGAGACGCAGGACATTGAGGCTACCGTCTAGCAGGGGGGACTTGTTCTGTGGGGAAATAAACGTACACTGTAAATGAGTAGACCAGCACCCGGATTCCAGTTACTTGATTATAATATCGAATGCAGAACTGCCAAATGTTATGGATTGCCCGTGTTTTGTTACGGCAATCACGGAATTCAGAATCGTTACGACCGTAACGCAATTGGCGTTAGATATTTTTAAAATATCCAGCGTCCAACTTTAGCACCAGTATGAAGCCGTTCAAGACATTACAATAGAAACCAAAATTTTGTCCATGCTAAAATCATCTCATACAGTCTATCAACAATGGGGTTTTTTTTGTTTGCAAAATACAGTGCTGAGTTTCAATTTTGACTTTTGTGATCTGATTAATGTGATTTTATAGACTTGCTTTCTTTACAAAAACAGAATCGGTGAAGGATAATTCATCCATAATAGTTATTTTTATGCTCTTACATTAATACTCTACAATAACTGTCGCGTAGTGATGTTCTTAACAAAATGTAAAAAATATTCAGACAAATTGTTACGGAAGTGAAGTTCTGTAGGTTTTCAGCCGTGCTAATGTATTGACAAAATCTCAGTCCATGTAACCGTAACATTGAAGTAGTGAACTGGAAGATAATAGACTCTTGCACACTTTCTGAAAGATTTCCTCATTTTACTTGGTCACATTGTGTACGTTTTGTTGGTTGGTTGAATATATTTTGCTAAAATAAGAGGATTGACTTTCGTCTTTTGCCTTACACCAAATAAGACAAATGACTCCATTTGTGTTATGTATCCTGTTGTATTATTTTTGTCATTTTATGTTTAATTGTTCTGTAAAGCGCTTTTTTTTACAGCTGCAGTTGTTAAGAAAGCGCTATTTCAATAAAGAAATATTGATCGTATTGTATTTGCATTCTGTTTAGTGAGTCCAATTCTGAATTGCATTATGTTTTTGTTTCGAAGTTTGTTTGTTTTTTTTTTGCTCATATATTTTGTCAGGAGATGGCAGCATTTCTCCTGGAAATAAATGTTGAGGACTCACGTGAAAATCACGTCTGGCACTACACGCTGACTGTATTACTTAGGGTGGTGAAAGGCGTCGGTTCATTTGGGTTAGGTTATTATCCCCCCCACACCACCCCTGTCACACACACAAATGCACACGCACGCACACACATTTCTAATTCAGGTTTCATTTTCTGCATTCCGTGGGACGTTTTATGCACGTGACGTGATTAACAGCTTCATGTTGAGCACTAACCCAGTCTGTGTCACCAACCTTTCTGAAAACGAAAGCTACTTCTTGGCCTCTGATTAATGCGAAGGAGCTACCTGTTAGTTGGAGAGTACACGCTCCTGAAATAACGAAGTTGCTCAAACCATATAAATATTATGATTTAAAATATACGTTATTAATTCATAAAAATAAAAAAAAATCATATTTTAAAATTACATCTTGACGCCTGCTTGCTGGTGCGGTATACTGTACTGCGATGTACAGGTAAATGATCCAATTAGTCTGCTAACAAAAAAATATTTTGTGACAGTCCTAATTGAGAATTAATAATTCTCAATTATTATTGCATAGCCACAATGCATTAAATGTAGAAGACAGTGAATGTGCATAAGAACTGGTTGGGTTCGATACCTCGAACAAGGTTAAGAACCACTGCTTTTGAGCAACCACACAAATGCTGGCTGATTGAACATTGGGCAGAACGATTATCTTCATGAATGATATCACTTATCCACCCGTGTGAATATTACTTTGGTCCTAAAGACGTCATGTGTCTCCCGTCTCCTGCTACCTTATCTAAAGTAGTTGTTTTGTCTTATCCCTGCAGCACAAGGTTTCCTGTTTTTACTCCAACATCGGTCTCCACTTCTGATAGTTATTCACTTTCTGTCACTCAGGAGCCTTCATAATTGAGGTTTTCCCCCCCCCACTCCAGAATGTTGCCGGTGAGACAATGGGGAGCAGGAAAGCTTGCGGCCCAGAAGACCTTTCCCCTTTTTCCACCCTTGCAGTTTCGGCTGGTCCTCACGTCATCGTAGCAGATAAGAGCGTGCGAGAGGGCCCACCAACTCTGTCCTGCAGGCAGAATTTGTTATCCTGAAGAATGACAGCTCCCCATTGTTTTCATTCCTTCACTCCTCCACTGCCATGACTCCTTTCCGTGCTTGCTTGGGACAGGATATGCCGTTTTCTTATTTTGTTCATCTACCGTCTGGGGAATGTGGGGAGGAATCCTCGGCAAATCTGCAGAAGCATACCAAATCAACATTATTACCAGAAAGTCAATTATTTCACTCGGAGCCTTCATTTATTTTCTGCAAGTTTGTATTTTCAAATATTTCTCCTTGAAATTCACTGCCGCCTTACACTGTCAATGGTCCAACTATGAATTACAACCACTTGAAAAAAAACATCCATCCATTTTCCGATCCATTTTATCCTCACAAGGGTTGGGGGAGGGAGGGGGCTGCTGGAGTCTATCCCACCATCTTCGGGCAGTAGGCGGGGAACACCCTGAACTGGTTGCCAGCAAAAAAAAAACATTCATAAAAGCAAATTTGGGTGGATTCTGGCAGAGGGATCCCAAGTACGGATAGAAAATGTCTGGCATATAAAATGGATTATTCATATTCTTGCTGTTGTTGCTAATAACCATAATGCAACACAGCCCTGCAAAGTCAATTTTAAGCATCATAGAAAATAGATATCCATCCATCCATCCATCCATCCATCCATCCATCCATCCATCCATCCATCCATCCATCCATCCATTTTCGAATCCGCTTATCCTCATAAGGGTCACGGGCATGCTGGAGCTTATCCCAGCTGTTTTGGGGCAGTAGGCAGGGGTACACCCTGAACTGGTTGCCAGACAATCGCAGAGCACACATAGAAAAAAACAAACATCCACGCTCACACTCACACATACCTCAGGACAATTTAGAATGTTCCATTAACCTGCCAAGCATGCTTTTGGAATCTAGGAAGAAACCGGAGTGCCTGGGGAGAAAACCTACGCAGGTACGGGGAGAACATGCAAAGTCCGGAGCCGAACCCTGCACCTCCACACTGTGAGGCGGATGTGCTAACCGGTTGTCCACCGTGCCGCCATGGATGAGTGTATGGATTATATATTACAAAATGCATTTATTCCCGCTTACAACGAAATTGAAACACAATTTCAGGCTGCAGCACTTCAGCACAGGCTGAACTCACAATAAATGCAAAAGGCTTAAGGCTTGGGAAAACCCGTTTAAAACGTCACTTCATTATGTATTTTCTTTCATTTTATTGCACCCTGTGGTATAACGACAATCTGTCGCAGCATTTTTAGCAAACTAACAACATGAAAACAATAATCAACTATGGCAACCGAGTGCCCATTCTGCACAAGGCGATCTGTAATTTGCTTTCAAATGCTGCAGTTTCAGTGGTCCCCGTTTTTTCTTTTTGTCGTAGTGACAACGGCTATTTTCATTCTATTGTATCTAATGTCGTATGCCTGTCGAATTTTCCATACATACCAATCTATTTTAAAAATAATGACTTCAAGTATGAGTGAGGCGGCCAGAGGCTGTACCAGTGGCAGAGGTCGATGAGGGGGTGGTCGGATGAGGAGGAGGGGAGGTATGTGAGGTGAGGGCAGGGCCAGGATGGACTGGAAATGTGCCCCCAGCACCGTTTATAAACATGGCCCCACTACGCTCCTCGGGATCTTTGTTTACATTCGTCCATCCATGCGAGTTGTGCTGTGACGTTGTCACAACCTCAGAAGACGGACGACATCGTCACTTCAGGCTTCTGCGCTTCAAAGGGGGACAACCTTGTGGATTTGAGCGTCCTCCCAACAATTCCTCTTTCGAGCTTCCAAACCGGTTGCCACCATTTCACCTCCAAACATGTACAGCTCCAGCTATTCCCGGGCCAAGTTTGGCCTGGAGGCGAGGGAGCCTTTGCACAAGCCCAAAGGCAAGAGCTGTGGCTACTATTTGAGGATCGTATTCTTCTTCTCCTCACTTATCCAGTCCCTCATCATCGTCAGCCTTGTGCTCTTCCTCATCTACGGGCAACCGGAGAAGTCAGCTGAGGAGATGAGAGTCAAGGTGAGGGATTCGATTACTTTTTAACGTTTGCGTTTCAGAGTGAAACATAAAGTGATGAGATGATCATTCTTGAGTATCACACTGCTTAGAGCAGGGGTCTCAAGCTGCGGTCCTCGAGGGCTGCTTTTCTGCAGCTCACCAGCAAGCTCTACAGGAGCCTGATCAAGATCCTCGTGATTTGAATCAGGTGTGTTGCAGCAGGAAGTGATGGAAAACGAGGACCCTGGAATAGACCAAGAAGGACGCGGGCTTATTTCTGCTGCAGCCCTTTGACCCCGGGTACATCTTTCTCGGCAATCCTCTCTGAGGTGATGTCACCTGCTCTGTTCTTGTGCAGGAGCTGGAGCTCGGCTTCAACAGACTGAGTGAGAACAACATACAGCTGAGGAGGGAGAAAGGCGAGCTGGGAGCTCAACTTGGGGCACGCACGGCTGAGAAAGATGCTCTTGTGAAGCAGCTGGAGCAGCTCATGACTTATACCAACGCGACCAAGTTTGACCTCATGAATAAATTAGTACGTGGATCTATTTAAGCAGTGTGTTTGCGGCTCATTATGGATGATGGACAGTTTTGTTTTTTGTTTTTTTTTTTTTTATCTTCCGAAAATTTTCTTCATGCAGGCCAACTGTGAGAGGCAGATGATGACAACGCAAAGCATGCTTATGCGATGTTCCAACCCCCGAATACAGCAGCAACCTGTTGTGGTCGCTCCAAGCAGTATGTGTTCTCAGCCATCCTTCCTTGTCGTGTTTTACACATTTGAGTGCAACAAAAAATCTTGGTCATCTCATGCTTATGCCAATCATCTGTAATCCATCTTCATTGATCCATTTTTATAGAATGATTATTACATTTGAATAGTCAAGAATGATTCACCGTTAAAAACATGTCGGTGGACTTCCTGACCTTTGTGTATTCGCTTTCAGCAATTTTAGCCATTATTGGGAAAATGATCATGCAAAATCCCACCTCAAATTTGTATTTGATTCAAGTGGATCTTAAAAAAAGATTGAATATGGGGGCAAGAGCACAGGCCTCAGCAATTCAAAGCCAATTTAAGCACTGCAAATGATTTTCCAGAGATCACATCACATCTTCAAGAAAAGTTCAAATTAGCTTCTGAGGCATTTTACTGTTTTTACGCCAGTCATCCAAATATAAATATGATATTAAAACATTTTTATTTTAAAATTCAATTATATGTTAATTAATTGGGAGGGAAGAGTTTCACTTTTGTGTTCATTTACTGAAAAAAAAAATAGCAACATTTCACTCTTGGAGGTTGTAATAAATAGTCAGAAAATTGCCCCCCCCCCCAAAAAAGCCATATCTCTCTTGCTAATATTCTAAAAGACTTATCTTGATTCCTCCAGATGAGCTCAAAACTTTACAGAGCCTCAACGCGCAGCAGAAAGCAATGATTGAACTCATCGAAGCCAACTTCAGCCACACGGTCCACTATCTGAGTCAGGAGAGGGACAATGCCCTCAAGGACAGAGACGTCCACCACCAGGATGGCATCGCTCTCCGCAGAGAAAACACCATGCTGAAGGAGCAGCTTGCCGCCTACACCAGGTACTGACAAGCTGTTTGCCGAAAATGCAATCATTGTGGGCTTAAATACAGATACATTTGATTTTAAACATTGTGTTTCACCAGGAAATGTAAAGAGGACTTTGCTCATTCTTTGAATGGAATCCAATCGGTGACCAGGGAATTTCTCACCAAAATCAACAACCTGTTCCCCCACCAGCTGACCTTTCACCTCACCTGTGAGAGTCAGCAGGAGGAACTGGAGACGATAAGAAACAGCTGCACCAGCCTTTCCAAGGATGTGGAGAACAAGTTTCAGCTGTATTTGGACAACGTGGGCAACAAGGTAATGTGCAGAGACGAGATACATACTGGCTATACCGGTGCATCACATTTTATGTTCGATTCTAGTCAAAATGATATGTAAACAGTGATACGTAAACATACTGTATATGGTAGGGGTGTGACAAAAAATTATTTAAACTAGGAAAAACTCTTTTTGATTTAAAAGATGGGAGTGCATCAAATCAAACTGAATCATCTACGGTGTAACGAGAGATATGTATGAAATCATTTTTTCTATCCATCTGATATTTATTGTAGACATATAGATTTAAGAAATTCCACCTAGGATCATACACATGTAAAATACACATGCAAAAGCACATTCGGATGTTTGTAACATGAGAACAAGAAACTCATGACATCATACTCTCTCAAACTGAGTGGTACCATATCAATGAATCAAACCGAATCAAACACACACACACACACACACACACACACACACACACACACACACACACACACACACACACACACACACACACACACACACACACACACATTGCGTCAACGCTCCAGTATGACTTGATTGTATTGTGGGGAAATGGTACTTTGCTATAAATGACTCATTAGATTGTGAAGTTGATACAGACATGACGACTGCGATCCATTTATTTCCTCTAGAGAGGATGCCTTTCCTCTGGAAAAATACTCCTAGACTAAGTTATGGACACAGCTGCCCACCGAGGTCATCTTATGGTCAATGTAGAGGTGACTTCTGGCTGCACTGATATAGCAGCAAGTTCTGGAGAACAAAGACACACATCCTCGCCAAGTAAATCGCCAAGCCTAAGGGGTTACATTGCTAAGTGAGGGGTAAAAATGATGCCTCATTGTTTTTGCGCTTGAATGCATCATCATTTTCTGAAAGCATTCAATTTGTAGGCAAAGACTCATTTCTCTTCATCTTATTGCCTTTTTTCTTCGTGAGATGAGCCGAAGTAACACTGTGAAATGAGTTCTTATCAGCAGTCAATGAGTACTCTCAATTTTTCACAAGGCCACGTGCAAAAGTTGGAAACTACCGTATAATATGACAGGATTCAGTCAATGATTCTGGACCCTTGTGTAACCGCATCTCAATGGAATGTAAATGATCCAATTTCACGAACTGATCTGAAATTATTTGTTTACTACAAATAAGGTATCTTGGTTCATTTAATTATCTTACAAATCTTAACTATAGAAATGGAGCAGTTGAGGAAAAACTGCATCAGGTGCCATGCGCGTGAGATCGAGCGCACTAAACCAAGTGACACCGTCAACATCCACTTTAACCAGGAATGGGCAACTGAAATGCTGTCGATAAACACTGGACATAATATGTGCATGTGTGTGAAATTTGTACACTTCACATATTGCAGCTTTGATAATACATTTTTCAAGGCATGTAGAAACAATGCACTATCCTATCCTATCCCAAGCACGAAGCAGTTGTAGAAAACAACAAAATGACCACAGATTGTAGTGTATTATGTTGCCAGTGCAAAGGACTCTACCATAAAATAAAAAATTAAAGGACAGCAAAAAAAAAAAAAAAAAAAAAAAAAAAAAACAACATTAAGTGCAAGAACTTCTTTTGTAAGTCTTTTCCCCAAAAATATCACTCAAAAGTTTAATATTGTTGAGGAGCTATATTTGGCATGCACATCATTCCAAATCCCCCCTCCTCCACACACACACACACACACACACACACACACACGCACACACACACACACACACACACACACACACACACACACACACACACACACGCACGCACACACAAAATACAACTACTCATGTTGCAGTACCGGTCATAATAAGCCCCAGTATGAGCTCAATTAACACAGGTCTGCCATCTAGTGGTGATTGATGATATTACAATTTAAAAACTACGGTGACAACTGAATATTTGCAGTTCGGCACCCGTGGATTCGCATATAAACAGATTTTTCAATATTTTTTTCATGTTTGTGATTTTCCCTTTTTTTCTGGATTTTTTTTTCATCGAGTTGTCACTCAGAATGTGGTCCCACATGCCAGTTGCCCTGACTTACACAGTTTGTAAGATGTACTGGAAAGTGCCCTCTGGGCAAAAGGAATGGCACAGTAGGAGGAAACACTCTTAATATCTTCCACAAAGAGCGTAGCATCCAATAAAAGAACATCACCACATCTGTCTTCCTGTTGAAGGTGGCTCAGATTCAAGTCAAGTCGAGCCGACTGGAGGTGGAAAACTCGCACTTTAGCGCCGACTTGCAGAGATGTGAACAGAACCGCAACGAGACACTCGCCGAGGCCAGCAGGCAGCTACAACTCAAGCAGAAGACTCATGACGAGAAGGTTCTTTGAAACACGCTCGCCGCCATCCCTCTCTTCGTATTCCTCGTGTCCTTTTTAAACGCACGCATTCGATTCAGATGGAGAAACTGCTGATTGAGCAGAACCGGCTAAGAGAACAGAAACAATTGCAAGCGGATACCTTGGCCCTGAGAGAAAAGGAGCTGCAGACCCTGAGGGCATTGCCCAGTTGCAAGGTACAACACTCTCAGTGGACACGGCGTGTTGCACGCAAACACAAAATGGGGCAGTCAGCGTCCTCAGACGGCCTCTGATTAAATGGAGCGTGGCGCAGAGGTTAAGTGGACGCGTGTAGACTCAGCAACAGCAGCAGGAGCAGGAAGGATGGGCGGCCGAGATAACAACTCTTGAATTCTGTCACCTTTCAAGCTCTGTGGTTGAACTTGCCAACGTGCGTGTGTGTGTGTGTGTGTGTGTGTGTGTGCGTGTGTGTGTGTGTGTGTGTGTGTGTGTGCGTGTGTGCGTGTGTGTGCACTCACAGTGAACTGCACGCGTATTTCATGTTCTGCAGGTGGGTCCGCCTCAACTCGCGGGCGTGCCGTCGATCCCGCAGCAGAACAGACAAATTGCAGCCAAATGAGCCGCTATTGCAGCACCAAGCTTCAGCAAAACTCCAACGGTAACTTTTTTTTTTTTTGTTTATTGAACATATAAAAATATACAGTCATAAATTGACAGAAAGTGAAGGGAAGTAGAATTGTAAAAAAGGAAAAGAAAACAGTCATCATACAGCACAATTATATGTTCAAAGGAGTAGGAAGAAGTAAAAAATGTATTTATCCTACCCCTTGTTATGTAATAATATATAAATTGATCATTTTTTTATATCAATCAGAAAACAAAAGGAAAAAGTCTACATATAAACAAATGCTTTTACCCTTATGTGTGCTATACTTATCTATTTTTACAACTTTCACTCAAAGTGCAAAGTTTTCTACATTATAATACAGATTAGCATATTGCAGAGCAACTGAGGACTATCCAGAGGGATACAAACAAGAATGCAATCGTTGATGTCGTTTTTCTTCAAGTGTCATTGCCTACTTAAGCTGTAACCAAAAGAGGTGGACATCGTTCGTCCATTTTGTCCATCTGTTAACTACCGTCAGTATTTCAGTCCGCCCGAGTGTTGGCGACAGCTAAACGATGTCCAGAACCGACTTACTGGTACTACGTAACACACAGGTGCCGCACACCTGATATGCAGCCAAATACAGAAAAAAAAATTGTGTTGTGGGTCTGAAAGGTACACAACACATTTTAATGACGGGTGTCGCATCTTCTTTTATAATTTCACCAATCACCACACTGTGCCAGTGTCTGTTTTTTTTTTTTTTTGTTGTTGTTTATTTTGTTTTTTGGGCTGCGTGTCGTTTGTACGACACCTGGATGGACTGGGCCTACATGGGTCAGCCTGAAATCATGCCGGAAACAGTCAGTCTGACAGAAGGCCCGCCTCTGGTGACCCCATCGAATCTGATTTTTAGTTGAGATTTAGTCCGACTTTTTATTTTCTCTTCCAGGTAAGATGAACTGCTGTGTGTGGAAGACGCACCATCAGTGTAAAAAAGCCATTCGTCATAAGATATATCAAGACGCCGCAAACAAGTCTCAGAACAGTCTGTAAATATCCTGATTCGTCATGCACTCATGATTGCTTCTGACTTCGAAAAACGTGTAATAAATGTGTGTTTATCCTGACAGTCAAGGTCATGCAAAGCACGTGATAATGACACTGGTGTAAATATTGCTTGTGGGTGGAACTCACTTTGTAGAGAAACAAATGTTTCTTTTTTGTCAGTTGAATAAATTAAATGAACCATCAAAATGTGTTCTTTTTGTGTTTCTGGTCATGAATCGTCCAACGTGCGACTAAAATATGACTCGAGCTCTTGAGAATGCGAAGTTTATGTTTCCTGTGGCTTCCGCTTTTCATGGGAGCCAAGTGAGCAACCGCACGTACAACAGGTCACAGCACGCCAGAGTTCAAAATAGGACAGCGCTAAAATGACAGATTGATGATGTCAGTAATTAAATTGAGCGATACCAATGATTTATGCTCATTTTTATGCGTTTTGGTTTTACACGGCAGCTATTACGACTTACAAGCTTCAGCTTTATTGCTTCCCTTTCCTTTTTGAAACATACCGTGTTTAGAACATGCAAGTGGCTGAGTAGCGGCAGACAAAGCGCCAGACTTTTATGGATAAATAATAACCATTATCCTGTTAATGTTAACAATACATTCAATGTGACACTGGGGAGCACTTAAGATGACAGTATAACATGTATAGATGTGTGCGCGCACATATACAAGTATGCCTTATATCATTGCCCTTCACTGCAGTGCATCTTTTGTGTAGGAATTTGAACATTCTAAGCATATTCCCGCTGTTCGAGTGGGGTGGGGGCCACTCAGGCTCGCAAATAAAGAATATCTACATATAAATGACAACCATTATAAGTGCATTGGGAGTTTGGGCGGGGGGCAAAATTAGTTTTTTTTAACAAATTTAAAAAATTTGAAAAAACAGGGATAAATCTCTTGTCATATCTATCTATCTAGCTATCCCTCCGTTTTCTGATCCGCTTATCCTCACGAGAGTCGCGGGGTGTGCTGGGGTGTCTTTGGTCAGTAGGTGGGGCACACCCTGAACCGGTTGCCAGCCAATCGCAGGGCACACATAGATGAACAACCATCCGCACTCACACTCACAATTTAGAGTGTTCAATCAGCCTGCCATGCCCGTTTTTGGAATGTGGGAGGAAACCGGAGTACCCCGAGAAAACCCACGCAGGCATGAGGAGACCAGGCAAACTCCACACAGGAATCGAAGCCTACGCCTCCGCCCTGTGAGGCAGACGTGCTTACCAGTCGACCATTGTGTTGTCCTATACCTACACATATCTATATCTATCTATAAATATAGATAGATATACATATATGTGTATGCATGTATAGCTAGATAGCTAGATATAGATATAGATATATATCACATTGGAGTAGTCACAGGTTAATACTGTGGGGAATTCTTGGCAGAAGATTAGGTTGGGGGGTGCATCGTTCTACTCCACTGTAAATTAAAATATGGAAACATCTACACTATCCCTCCATTTTCTGATCCGCTAGTAGAAAACATTGATGCCTCTTTTCCAATACGGGAGCAGCACGGTGGGAGAAACGGCGGCACCTTGCGCACCCTACCTTAGTTCTACTACTGATTATAAAAGAACAGAAAAAGTCAGAAAACAACTTTTTTTTTCATGGGGAAACGAGAAAGTCTTCTCTTTCATTTCATACTTGGTTGTTTGTTTTCCTGGTTCTTTGTTACCAGCGTCTTGATTGTACTTTGTCGGTCCTGCGTTGTTTTCGTTATTAAACATATTTTTGTCACACGCTGTTATCTGTGTTTACGCTTGTGGAATCCTCATTTTGTCCGGAATACTTCCGGAGACCTGATAGTATTTGTGTAAGTTAATTGCATCTCAATCAGAATGTTATTTCTATAACCGAGAATTTGGAGCAGAGGATTTACAAGAGACACTTCAGTGATGATATAAGCGCAACGGATGACAGCAGTTTGTTCACAGGACATCCTTTGTTTAGCAATTTCCAACATGTGGTTCCAACACACACACACACACACACACACACACACACACACACACACACACACACACACACACACACACACACACATTGCCCTAGTCACCGGTAGATCATAAGATCCATTACAACTGATGGATATTGGCATACAAGAAGCTAAACATTCATATAAAAAGTTGTCCATGCCTTGAATGTTCAAAGTTCAATGATTTACAAATGAGGGCAACTAAAACCAAGTGAGAATTTATTATTATTATTTTTTAAGAAGTTCAACTACATTTTGGAAGACTATCAACCGGTGTGGGCGGCAAGGTGGACGGCTGGTGAGCACAGCCGCCTCACAGTGTGGAAGACGTGAGTTCGAATCCAGGCTCCCGCCTTCCTCTGTGGAATTTGCCCGTGCCCGCGTGGGTTTTCTCCGGGTACTCCGGTTTCCTCGCACATTCCCAAAACATGCATGGCAGGTTTATTGGACACTCTTAAATTGTCTCGTGGTGTGATTGTGAATGTTTGTGTGGCCTGTGATTGTTTAGTAAAGTGTTCAATTGCGTAGTCAGCTGGGATAGGCTCCAGCACAAACTAGTGAGGATAAGCGGTATGGATAATGGATGGATAGATGAAATGGTGTTTTATTTTTTTATTTGTATTTTTTTTTTTTTTATTCAGGTGTGGGTCCATATACTGACTTAATTGTAACAGGACGCATTGTATGAATAAGTGATGTAACCCTTGTGCTGCAATTTCTACGATGTTTGTAACACATGGGTTACCCCATATGTTACAATTTCTACAATTTTTGTAGATTTTTGCGTATTGTCATCTTTAAATCAAAGACACAGCATAAAAAGTGTGTGATATGAAATATTCCAATTCATGTTTTATTTATATAGATTTATATTTCTGTTTGGGTCATAGCACAATACCGCTTTTATTGTCCATAGAGGGCAAAAATACAAAGAAAAAAATATGAACTATATGTGTATGTATAGCACTGATGCCACTGAACATGTCGAGTGGTTGAAAGTGAAATAAATATTCAGGAATAATACTTTTACAATTTTTGTAAAATTGTATGTTGCGTTATATAAACTTATTTAGATCGACTGCAGCACATGGTTAAAAATGTATAGCTTTTGATGCGTTGGATAGAAAGTCCCACATTTATCATAAAATGCCACTGCCCTCCCTTCTTGTGTCGTAATTTATCAAGAACAAGAAAAGGCTGACAAAGTGGAGCGGGAAGAGGAAAAGTCTGAGCACGGAGACTGGCAAGAGAAAGACAAAAAGACGCAGACAGGCACTTCTGTTGCCGTAAAAGGCGAGCAAATGTCGTCAGCGACCAACAAATGGGGAAGAAGGGTGACGAGTTCAACAAAGAAACATAAATATTTGATCAAGGCCAGATTGACAGGGGAACAAAAGCCACGGCATTCAACGCCTCAACAATGTTCCTGCCTCACAGACTGAAGGAGACCTGCGTCACTCATGTCTGCATATTTTGGGTACATTTACTTGGGGCTTGATAATGAGGCATCCACCTGCGGATCATTGTGGAACAAATCCCAGCACAGATACTGCATATGGATGACTGGACAGTATATCGTGCATGGGCAATAGTCCCATTTTTAATGGAGCATCTGAGAGAACAGGTACACCTGACCGATGACAAGTATTGGGACAATAACGGAATTCTTTGGCTTTCACCTACCCATCACAATGGATCTGAAAAATAAATTGATTGTAAGAATAGCTTTAATTGAAGAGGTTTCACAAAAATATGACACCATCAAGGATTTCAAGCACAGAGCAGCTGCATTTCCAGGGGCTCCAAAATTTGGTGATAAAATACGTCATGTAAAATTAGTCTTGAAAAGATTTTTTTCAAAGTGTTATACTGTACCGCTGATAACTATTGCGCTAGTATCTAAGTATGTAAAAGATAAACAGCAGGTTGATTCTTTCTTTGTTCTAAAAATGCATCTTCAGATTAAATGACATGGCACTGGAAAGTCTGTTCATGTTGTGCCACACTTGTAAGGAACATGAATTTGTGGGATGAACAGCAGTCATGAGTATGTGGCTTGCGGCAGTGAAAAATTTGCCAAATCTCCGTCAATGCCAAACAGCTCACTTTGCCCTTGCCGACAACTCTTGTTTGGTGGATTGGATGATTGCCGTTTGAAGAAACAAGACGTATTGCAACTTTACCAGTGGAAGAACCACACATAGCCACACTTGTGAGCCTGGCGCGTCCTCCCAAGTCCTTATGCTGGTCACACACTGCGGTGGGATGCCATCCCATTCTTCAACAATCTTTTGTCGCAGGTCAGCCAACAGCGTTTGGTTGGGAAAAGCCAAGCTGATCTCACAAGTATTCACTGGGGTGGAGTTCAGGACATTCCATCCTCTCCACTCCCGAATTCTGGAGGTAGTCTATGATAAACTCCGCTCTGTGAGGGTGAGCGTTGTAATCTTGGAGGATAGAGACCAGTACCAGACTGTGGCGAGATGACATTGCCGGGAGCTGTAGAAGCCCATCTGCAGCTTTCTCTGGATTTTTACTCCAATGATGAATTTCCAATGAGGGATATGCCACCCCAAATCATCACACTGCCGCCAACCAAACGTAAACTTTTGCTAGGGATGCACGGTAACTATCGGACCGATAATTATCGAACTGATATTGGTGGGGGGAAAAAAATGACAGCACGTGTATCAGTCTGAGGGCAGCAAAATTTGACAGATATCGAAAGCCGCTTCAGACACACTAATGTTGGTTTGGTTACTGTCACTTTAAGATTTGCAAGCATCTGCTTCATGAAATAGGAGGTAATATGGACGACAGAAATTACGACTGCTGCTTTGGACAATTTTAATTTAAACAATGGCTCTTGATGATTACTCAATGATAAAAATAGTTTTCGATTAATTTGATCATCGATTAGTTGTCGATTACCGGATTAATTATGACAGTTATACACCCAACAAAGAAAAAATAGTAACCACTTTGTACTTCCAAATCTCATTTCCTGCCAACACGTGATGGCAACACAGTGCAGTGTTTTCGAAGTTGGGATGTTTAATAAGAAAAAAAAAATTCACACATAAGGGTCCAGGAGCATTCATTCATTCATTCATTTTCCGAACCGCTTGATCCTCACTCGGGTCGCGGGGGTGCTGGAGCCTATCCCAGCTGTCTTCGGGCAGTAGGCGGGGGACAC